CTTATGTTTTGCTGTAGTTTTGTTTGAGGTACCACACTTGGCATATCCTTCAGAGCTGGTCAAAGCAGGCTTTGAGTTGGGGACTTTATCTTCTGTTTTATAAACCATCATCCATAAGATCCTGATTCTTACCTAAGACATTGGAAGCTGTCTTAATGTATAGACAATCCTTGACTTAACAAAGGTGATTCATCCAGTGGAGAGTAAAATTCATGTCTGGCTCTTCAGAGTTCAACTATCCTGTAGAACTGTGAATATGGCAATGGCTTCCAGACCAGCTTGCACTGGAAAGCAGTGTGACTGCTTTAATACAATGTTAAGGTGAAGCTGGAGAACTTGAGGACAACTTTGAGTATTTACAGCAGTTTGGTTATGATCATGCTGTACTAAGGAGAAGGGTGAGTGAAGAGGGGAATCTGGCATGTCTGATTCTGAGCCAGAGCTAGTGAATGTGACTGATTTGACTTGTACGGAGCTGCTCAGATGTCTTTTTGTTACTATCCAGTGCCTCTAATTCAGAGATAGTATTGAACTCAAGCTTATAAACTAGACCTGAATTTGGTTTTTGTTCTTGTGCTCTTGGGCAAATAAACTCTAGGAATGTGAGGCATGGGAAGCACCCTGAATCTTGTACATGAGCTAACTTGGATCTGCCAGGCTTACTTGCTTCTGTTTTACCAGCAGATAGGCTGGATTTGTTAATTTTGTAATGAAAACTTGTCTTACTGAGTGGTGGTGTTTTGTACCTTTAGGTTTGAGTCCTACTCCTTGATTGCTGGGGATAAAGTGTATAAATAATAACTTAGTGGCTGATATCTTTTTGAGTGTTTCTATATCTCTATTAAATATTTCAAAATAAACCCTTGCTGATCAGATGTTTCCAATTTGATGTGTAAAAGGGAGATAAACCAGTAGTTTGACTGAAATCCAGTACCTGTTCAAAGTAAATGTTTTCTACTGAAAGGATTCATTCAATATCATAAGTGGGTTTTATTTATGGAATAATCAACTGAAATGTTCAAAGCTTTTTAGTGTCATTACATGGGAGCAAAAAGGGTTTGGGACTGCATTCTAAGCCATTTTTTAGTAACCTTCAATGTTCATCATGTTTAAGCTACATCTAGAGGTACTGTGCTTTCAAGTCAGCAGAATATCAGACTCACAGCACAGGTTTCTCATGCTTCAGACTTGTCAAGTCTAATATTTGGAGCCTCGGTGCACAGGAAAATAGCTCAGTGGATCTCAGGATACAGCTAATGCATTTTCATGTTCATTAAATGTGTTGTCTAGAACATGTCATCTGTGCAGCAACTTGTATAGCTACCATAACATCTAGCTTCAACACTAGAGATTTGGTTTTCAGAAGATGACAACTTTTGGTGGTATTAAAGTTATGTAGGTCAAGTTCTAGATATACACAACATATTAAACTATTTGGCTTTAAAATAAACAATACAGCTGGAATAAACAAATGTGCTTTGGAACACCAAGTCTTCTCTGAGCACTGAAGCCTTTTAGTTACTTTGCTTACATACAAAGTGGATTTCACTTCTGTTGCAGGTATGCACTTCCATTTCTTATGATTTGTAGTTTGTATTTAATTGTCAGGTAGTTGTTTGTTCCAGTTAGGAAGTGATATTCAGAGTTATGCATTGCATAGTTAAATATATGCTGGCCTACTCCTAAATTACAGTAAAAAAATGAGTGAAACCTCATCTGAATACTTTAACTAAGATTACTGCTAGAAATTTAGACTGTATCAGACTGCAGGTACTCAACATTCTGAAATAATTTCAGCATACTTTACTGTAAATGGAAAATCTCAATCTCATTTTAAATGTATGCAGTGTTTATTTTTGTTCCTAATAACTTACAAGGCTATTTTAAAGTAAAGATAAATAATCTCAAGTAATGCTTGAAAAATTGATGTGGTATTCCACTATATGAAAGCTTTAATTTGAGCTTAACTGTGAACTCCCTGTTTATAAGTAATGATTCTTTAAGGAAACTGTTGACAAGGAGTTACTGACTTCTGGAAGTTCAGACTTGTTATGAATTGTTTCAATTTGTTTGCTTTCCTTGCAGTTATACCTCCAGAAATAAAATCAGAATTCCAAGTTGGAAGGGACCTCTAGAGAACATCTGGTCCAACCTTCTGTTGAAATCGTGACTGTAAATTACATTACACAGGGCCCCATCAGCAGCCCTGAGTCCTGAATATTCTCAGCAAGGGAGATTTTTACTGTTTTGCTGGGCAACCTATTTCTGATTAATGTTTTCCTTGACTGTATCTTAGGACCCATAAGGGAAAAAAAGGAATATACCTAATAAAATAAACTTAAAGAAATTACCTGATGATTTCTTGAAATTTGGCCTGATAATTTCAGAAAAGACTAGTTCATGCAAGGCCTTAAATTTAACAGCTTCTGTGGACTGTAGTCATCCATGAGCAATTTGCTCAACTGTATCTTGGTTTTAACTCAGGTCTACATTGGGAATGGAACTTGCAAGTACTAAGGGGAATAAAATCATATTTTCATATTTAGTAGGCTTTAATGCTTGCATTTCTTTTTGTCTGAAGCTGAAGTAGGTGAACTGGAGCTGTAGACTTTCTGCAGTGTAGGGTGACTGCAGCTGGGCCTTTCTTCCATCAGCACTTCCAATGTAGCAACAAAGGATTTTGAGCTGCTTCTACCTCATTGTCAAGTGTTTTCAAATTCCTTCTGGGGAACAGGGAGATCAAAGAAGCCAGTCTTGGCCCTTTAGTGACACAGTACTAGAGGAACAGTCAAAGAACTTAAAAGAACTTATAAACTGTTTCATAAATTTGAGGCTACAAACAAGTAGTTTAAGCCTGTTTGCTCTTTAGTGTCACTATATCTTGTGCCTGAAACTATTTTGTTAACATGATTGTGTCACTTCACATTCCAACAGTGTGAACATCCTGGTTTTACAAAGTTTTGTTGGGGAGAGTAAATATTCCTGAACAGTAGTTTGTTGATAAGTAATCTCTATTGCAGTATTATTTTGACAGGAATTGTGGTGGGTTGACCTTTGCTGGCTGCCAGGTGCCCACTGAGCTCCCCCTCCTCAACAGGATGAGGGGAGAAAGTAAGATGAAAAGCTTGTGGGTTGAGATAAGGACAGGGAAATCACTCACCAATTAGTCATGAGCAAAACAGACTGACTTGGGGAAGATTAATTTATTGCCAGTTAATTGTAATAGAAGGATAGTGAGAAATAAAACAAAACTAAAACCACCTTTCCTACACCCTCCCCCTTCTTTCTGGGCTCAACTTCTCCTGACTCTTCTACCTCCTTCCCCCAGGTGTGGCACAGGGTGGGAATGGGGGTTGTGGTCAGCTCATAATACTTCATTCCTTCCTGCTGCTCCTTCTTCCTCATGCTCTTCCCCTGCTCCAGCCTGGGGTTCCTCCTGCAGGATAGTTGTTCACAAACTGCTCCAATGTGGGTCCTTCCCATGGGCTGCAGTTCAAGAACTGCTCCAGTGTGGGTCCCTTCCTGAAGGACTGTACCCTGTGGAACAGACTCTTCCAGTGTGGATCCCCCATGGGGTCACAGGTCCTGCCAGGCAGTCTGCTCCAGTGTGGGCTCTTCTCCACAGGCCATAGCTCCTGCCAGGAGCCTGCTTCAGGATGGGCTCTCCATGGGCTGCAGCTCCCTTCAGGGCACATCCACCTGCTCTGATGTGGGGTCCTTCATGGGCTGCAGGGTGGATATCTGCTCCACTGTGGTCTTCCATGGGCTGCAGGGGGACAATCTGCATCACCGTGGTCTTTTCCACGGGCTGTAGGAAATGGTCTTTTCCATAGGCTGAATCTGTTCTGGTGCCTGGAGCACCTCCTCCCCCTCCTTCACTGACCTTGGTGTCTACAGGGCTGTTTCTCTCACTTTCTCATTTGTCTCAACTTCGAAATGTTTTTACCCTTTCTTAAATATGTTATCACTTAGGTGCTAGTCAACTCTTCTCTGTAACTATCCTTCAAATTTTATATACCTTCCAAAATACAGTGCAGTGATATACGGAAGTGGACTGCTGGATATACACAGCTTTTCTCCTGGTAGGTGTGACTGGGAACATGCCCTATGGAGCAGTGCTCATGAGAACTTTCACACCACCTGGCTCTACTAAGTCCAGTTTTGTGTCCTTGAAGTGACAATAGGCAGATTCTCCCTTTTTGTTTTCCTTTATGGATGGATTTTTGATACCTGTTTTCTTTAGCCTACTTTCCCTGTAAAGCACCTTCTGGCGCCTGAAAGTACCAGCTGTATCTTCTGGTGTTTTCTAGGAATGGAAATGGTTGGATTTTCCTTGTCTTCCTTTATTCTTGTGGCTTACCACTTTCTTCTCCTTAGTTATCTTAATGGTGTAATGCCATGGTTATGAACCCCAACTGATTTTGGTAAACTTTCATGATAATGGGGGTTGAGTGGTAATTGGGAAGATCTTGAGTGATTCTGGTTTGGGACTGGATTTATATGCTTATGTTCTCTGGATTTAATTCCCTGTGTTTCTGTGGTTTAGTGTAGGGTATACTGTATGTGTTGCTGTATTACTACTTAAATCTTCAAAGGAGGATAAGGCAATTAACACTTTTTCATCAGAGCTTTGGTTGGTTAGTATTGTATCTGAGAGTGCTGCCAGCTTTGTTTTTATGGCTTTATGTACCTGGTAACAATTGTCAAAAATTGAATTGCTGTTTGAACACACCTGTTCTCAGTGTTGAATGGGATAAACATGAAGTTCTCTTTATACTATTTGAGTTCTCTTGAGTTCAGATACTTCTGTGTTTCTGTTGGCACCTGGTGGAGCCACTGACATGCTGTTAACTGTTCTAATGACTTAATGACTGTGTAGTTTGTGATCTAATACTTGTTTGCACCTAGAACAAAAAGCTCTTTCAGCAAAATATTCCACTTCGCGTGTTCGTTTATGCTTAAAAATCCAATGAGCTTAATGGTTTTTTGTTTTCTTGCAGTTCAACTTTGTGGGAAAACTTTTGGGTCCACGTGGCAATTCTCTAAAGCGCTTACAGGAAGAAACACTGACAAAAATGTCTATTTTGGGAAAAGGTTCTATGAGGGACAAGACAAAGGTAAGACCTGAGCATGCTAGTGGAGTGTTTGATATGTGGATTTTGTAACTTTTCCTAAAATCTTTGGGGAGGTGAACAAACCCTGTGACAAAAATTGGGGAGCAAATAAAAAGCATAGATATCCTTGTATTGGTTAGACTCAGATAGAGTCTCTTCTCCAAGGAGTCTGTTCTCACTACGAGTGTTTTGAGGCTACTGTGAGTTGTATTTAGGTCTCCCCAAACTATGGTCCTTGGATGTAAGTGGCATGTTACGAGTAGCATGTTCTAGACTGATCTTGTAGAGCTTGTAATCGTAATGCCCAAGTGAACATGGGAGTGTTCTCACTTTTGAAGGAAGCTGACTTCTAGATAGTTTATGTGAAAACGTTTGGATCTAACACTTAACATTTAAATTTAATATCATTTAATAACACTTCTAGACAAAGAAAAATAGCTGATGAAAGGAGATAAAATACAACTGGAAAAAATTTCACAGCTCTGAGGATGACTTATGCAGCTTAAGCAATTGACAAATCACAGTTGTTTCTATGGGAAGTATTTGGTTATAGTGGATGTATCCTTTACAGAGCCAAAGTAGACAGCAGAAGAGAAACCTTTAGCTTGATAGGTTTTTGTACTAATCAGTTTCACTCTACTGAAATAAATCTCTGGCTAAATTTGTAGCAGATAAATGTACATCAGTAAGGAGATATGTCACCTGTCTAAGCTGCATTTTTTTAATTGGCGCATTCCTAATGATAGAAATTAAAACACCGAACATATTTCTTGCCTGTAGTGTACCATGTTTTATAGGCCTCCAGTGAACTCCTTCTGTGGTTATGTAATCTGAAACTTAAAAATACTATGTGCTATAAAGACTGATAATGACATACGTATGGAAGAGTGACTTAGAGGGCTGGCTACTAACTTCCTAAACTGTGTATTTTTCAGCACACTTCTCCATCAGCAAAATATAAATGTTATGGGATTTATAGAGTATTTATCAAGAACTTGATCAGAGCCCATAAATGACTTTATTTTTTGTACAACTCAAAAGCTAACTCTTTTAATTCCTCCTTGACAATATTAAATAAAACTTACATAAATATAACTTATGTTTATAAAAATATAATAAAGGCTTGACAATATGAAATGGATTTTTTGAATGAGAGCTGTTATATAATACAGATAACGCAACTTTAAGATTTAAGTGCTGCACAATTAGGTATGAAAAACTACAAACTTGAAATACAATGGTTCAACCAGAAAAAAAACCCAAGAATATAAACTAAATTTGCTACTAAGCCAGGATGACAAAGTAAGGCTCCAAATACTGTTTTAAATGACACTTTGTGAACTTTCTCAGTTCTTGTGGAACATGTCAAACTGACACTGTTCCGTTGCTGGATTACATGTTTCTATATCAAAATATGATGTGGCATGGAGTTAGGAAGGCCCCTGAGTTTTTCTAATGGCTCTGTAGTATAAAAGAGTTTGTTTTAATAAAAGCAGAAGCTCAAGTTGAAAAGTTCAGATTCTAACTTGAATCTCAGAATCCTGGGGAAGAGTCTTAAAGGTTTACATTTGAATAATTTCAACTTCTCTTGTTTCCTTTGGTAATGATGTAATTGTTTAAATTTTTATTTGACTTTTTCTTGAGATGCTAGCCAAAACTGTAAATATTTTAAATTAAGTGGCTAATAAAGTTGTTACAGGTTGGAGAGCTGTTTTTCACAGAAAACTTCAATACAATTAATCTTTGAGTTCAGAAACAGTAAGGCTCCTGTCATTGTGGGTCTGGGTTTTTAAAAGGGACAACAGAGGACCCAGTTGGATACTTTGGAATAATACAGCTGGAATAGCTTGTGTGTACCTACTTGTGATAGTCCTTCAGCAAGTGTCATTCAGAACTAAAGCAGACCATTAATGACACTGTTTCCAGTACTTGACTGAACCTGCAGAATATGTGCAAGAAAGTACTGGTGTTGTAAAGGGATCCTATCAGCTGATAACCTAAACTAGGTTGCACTCATCCCTAGTTCTCTGGGGACACTGCTCAGCAAGCAGGAGACTCCATATGGGGAGAACTTAACCAAACAAGAGAACTTAAGACTTTTTAATGTAGATTATCTACATACTAATTGTTTCAACAACATCTCTTTCACTAGCAAGTAATTTACTTTTTGCCTTGATCTTCAGACATTCTTGGTTAGCATTTTGAAACTGCTGTATTAAACTTGTCCAGAGAACTAGCAAATAAGAGAACCTTAATTATGCAGCTTTTTCTGTATGAAAAAGAATAATGGTCTATGTTGAAGGGAAGCTCAGGATTGAATTATTTGGTGTCAACAAGTTGCTGGTCAGAAAGGGTGGCAAATTCTCAGGCATGACTGGGTTTTGCATTACTTGGAAAATGTAGTTGAGACTTTAGTGTGGTATTGACAAATAATGAAGTACATCACTCTTGTCCTGTTTGATATAATATTTTGAATATGGAGAGAAGCCTTGAGTTGCTCCTATAGGAGAGTAATAGGTAAATAGAGTACATGTTTTCTATCTGCCAGTAATCCAGGTGCCAAAACAAGCAATTTCATTGCTGCCTTGACAATGTGCAAAGCACAGCGTAGAGGAGAGAAATTGAGAACCAAGGTAACATGCCAGCCTAGAAAGCCACATGGGGAGGAACTGCCTTTCCATTGCCTCTGTGACTCCAAGCATTACTTGTCTATCGCAGTTCAAGCATGGCTGCTTCTTCCTATTTTCCAATCTGACCAAACCACAAGTTTCTAGCCTACTGTTTTGCATCTTGTAGGATAGGAAGAATTGACTAAAAAGTATAATTGCAATCATGTGGGATTTTCTTCCAATTATCATTGACTTTTTGATTTAATTAAGGGTCAGATGAAAGTGAAATCTCCTGAACAATACAGTATTCTGGTGATTGGGAAGTTAAACAAAGTTAAACCTTGTTTTCAGAAGTGCATAGGTGATATAAGATGCTGATGTTCAAAGGCATAAACTGCAATTAAAATTTTTTCTGGAAAAATTCAGTTTTGGAGTACTATTTTGGTTAGAATTTGTTACAGGTAGCAAAATCTTTGGAATTACATTATCACTGATTAAAAAATGTTCAGCTGATGTAAATTAGTACTCTTACACTGAAGCCAAATTGGCACCACAACAGCTGAGGATCTCATCTCTTGTCTCTAACAAGTTCATTGCAGCATCTTTGCTGTCACTGAAGTGAGTCAGCATATACTGCTTATTGATGGTGATCACAGATTCTGGGATGAACCAATTGTTGGAGGCTCTGGATCAGATTGTCAGATGTTTCTAAACACTTACATGTTAGTACACCTGCTACATTACCACTTTTAAATGTGTGATGATTACCTCTTTCCTGAAGAAAAGTGGCAGTAAGCTTTGTAGACTTCTCTGGTTAAGCCAAATTTCTAGATACTTTTTTTAGCTTTAAAAGAACTTCAAAGACTCATGGAAGAAAGTTAACTGATATGAAAGGTTGGC